AAAGCGCTTGAGTTTTATAAGGAGGCCAATATACTTCCTTTTTTCTTGGAGTGAGCCAGTTCTGGTGCACCACAGCAACAGAACCTCCCTCTTTCTCATCAAACTCTATTAATACGAAAGACATATAACTATGTACATATATAAGCCTAAAATAAAACGAGGGAAAATTTCGTTTCACGTTTTGAGAAAAGCTGATTTTAGAGGTTATAATCAGAGACAAGTCATCTGTTATCTCTGTTATAATCATTCTTCTTCGTTAGGACTAGGAGGGAAGGCTTGGAAGTACGTCATCACCGCGCGCGATTTGAAAATTAGACTCAACATAGGCTCAACATAAATTATATTAGGTCCTGTCATATTTTTAAATAAAAAAAAATAGCTTCTAAGTAGTAGTAGGATTGAAATAGGTAGGCTAAATGTTTTTAAAAGCGAGATCAAAAACTTTTTGTTAATATTGGTATTATTTACGTTACTTTTACGTGAAATACACCTAATTTTTCGACGTCCATAAAACACAGTGAGGAAAATTCAAGCAATACGTATCTAACCAACACGGTTCTAAAGTTTTGTTTTCCAAAATATTCCTCAAAATTTAACTGAAGCAAGTTATTTCGCTTGCGTGATTTTTACGTGAAATAAACGTAGCTTTGCAATGTAACCGACATTCACAACTATTATAAAAAACATGTACTATATTTTGCATTAAGATTTTATATTTATTCCAATGTCAAACATGTATAAAAGAAGCAGTAATATATAGGTGAATGATTTGGCACTGAAATACGTTTTTTTTTCGTCTTACATCACCGAGTTACGTATTCGTTGAAATTCGCCGTAAATTTAACGTAATCATCACGTAACTGGGCTCAAGTCTGTTTGCTGGGTAAGAGGCAAATAGGTGGATATTTGTCCTTTCCTTTAGGCAGGAGAATCAATTTCGGTGTTTTCCAGTCTGCAGGAAAGCTCTGTCGCACGAGGACAGCTTTCATGTGGCCCAGGAGCCACGCAGGCTCCAGTATGCCCAGGCGTTTAATTGCCTCATTTATGCTCACTGAATTGAACATTGTGCCAACTCCACCCTCTTCGTCCTCAACTACCAGAGTAGCAACAAGGTCTGGATACCTCTCTTTGAAGCGCCCCAGCACCTTCTCATTAGACTGGTCGGCTGAAATATACACAGCCGCATCGTTGTAAGTGTCAAGCGGGCTGCCCTCCATAACAGAAACCTTGGTAAACAAGGCCTCCGGCCAATCCTAGCTGAGGAAGATCAGTGATCTCTTGAGGGGTTTTGCTTAGTGCCATTCTGGTCCTAATGTTCTGGACGCAGCGTTCAATTTCCACAGGATCCTCTAATGGGGACACCTGCACACCCGTGTTTTTCGTCACAGATCTGATCATGGTGACATCGCTCTGTGTGCCGATAGTCGTCTTGCACACTTTGGCTGACTTACGGGGTTCTTTTGTCAACGCCGCCTTATGCTGGAATATATCCCTTTCTGACTTGTAAATCAGATTTGTTAATCTCTGACACCGGACTTTATCTCCACTTTAGTATTTACGTGGACCTTTGTTAGGTCCAACACCTCAAATACGGCCGCCTTTAGTTGGGCTATATCTCTATCCACCTTTTCCAGATGCGCACGTGGGTGATCCTCTCCGGGGACTTCCTTAGTCCGCGCATGGGGTTTCCTCTTTCGTTTTCTATCGGCCACTGTCCAATTGGTGGACCGTCCGCTACAGCTACTTTCAGATTCGGATCGGTCGACTCGGTCGTCGGTAGATCGACTAAGTCTTTTCGGATTCTCTCACGATTACCTGAGCACATGTCTGTGTCACTCCTACCCTAACTTCTATCGATCCCTCCAGGAGAGCCCCCTCCCCCCCTGTAGACGGAGTGGGCTCACCCAAGGGTTCACTATCTCTCCCCTCTTCCTCTACCTTTCTAATCTTTTCTTTTTTAGTTTTATTTTTCCTCATTTATATCCCACGAGTAGGGCCGAAAAAATAGTCCGGTAGGGCAGTGCGCCCTTACCCTGCTAAGGCTAGTTTGCAACAGGGTGTCGTCTGGTACCCTGAGGGATTCCGTTCTAGACCAAGTATCGTGTGGCCATTCATTCGTCGGCACGGTCTCTCACAACTTGACTTCCGAATTTTTATCGCTGGTTTTCTTCGCCGGATTTTTCACCAGGTTTTCTCCTACTCAAGTAGGGTCTGCAGGAAGGAAAAAAGGAATAGGTACAATCGGGTGAGGGTGGAAGACATCGCAATTGGGAGTGATTGCGGTGCCTTTCAGCGTCCGGAGGCGAAGTCCGACGGCCACCCGGTGCGACGGCGCCGGATGCTGTTTGGACTGTTCTTGGTTTCGCTGGTCGTGCTCCCCTCACAATATTAGAGACCAAGATCAGTTACTCGGCCCTCCCACCAGATCGAGGTAAATTACAGTCGCGGGCGGGGATGGTTATCTACCTGCTGTTAATTGTAATCGTGTCGGCGCATCCTTACAGTAAGTTGAACTCACAGTGGATCATATCAAACAACGCTTAATTAGACTTCGCACAGCCGCTTCACCTGATTTAGATGGTTTAACACCAAAATTGTTAAAAATGTGAGCCGACACGCTTGCAATACCCTTAACGTTAATTATGTAAACTTCTTTTGTCCAGAACTCCTTATCCCTAGTTGGAAATTAGCTTCCGTTACCCCTATTTTAAAAAAAGCAACAAACCTGACACGAACAATTATTGTCCGATTAGCTTGCTGCCAGTGGTTGCCAAAGTTATGGAAGCCATTATTTCCGAGGAGATGACCAAATTCCTTCTCCAGGAACATGTTATTCCAACACAACATGGATTAATCTTTGGTCGCTCTACTCTAACCAATTTCCTACATTGTGTTAACAGACGTCATCCCTTAACAGTTCGCAGCTGGGCGACGTGTTTATCCAGATTTCTCTAAACCCTTTGACTAAGCGCAGACTTCTATATAAGCTAGAACATTTCGGAGTTCGCGGTACTTTAGTACTTTGTTAACGGGCAGCCATTAGTCTGTACGTAGGATCCATACTTAAATACGCTGGACGAACGTGGTATCCTGATCTGGTTCGAGACAAGACTTTGTTGGAAAATGTTCAAAGAAAAGCTACTCGAATTTCTTTGGAACCGAGAAGACCTTCTTATGCAGAAAGACTTAGTGTGGCTAACCTAACTTCTTTTGAACTTCGCCGACAACGTGAAGACTTAATTGCAACATTTAAAATACTAAAATTCAATTTTGTAAATCTCGATGAAATGTTTACCAAAAATCAAGATGAACGCCTCAGAGGTCATCAGTTTAAACTAAAGAAAGAAAATTTTTCTACATGATCAAGACAGAACTTTCTACCAAATAGGGTTTTTAAATGCTGGAATAACCTAACCATAACATTGTCGTTGCTCCGTCTACCAACTCGTTCAAAAATAGACTTGAGCGTTTTATATTATAATTAAAATATTGTTTTTCTTTTAAATCAAAAATTGTAATTTTATTTCTTTTATTTCTAATTTTGTTATTTACTAGTAGGTTATTAATGAAATTTCTTTGTTTTTGGGTGTAATAGGAACTTAGTTCCTATGCCCTCGCTTATGTATAATAATAATAATGAATTATCTTGAAATCTTGAAACTCTATCAAGAATGGTACTTTTACGAAAAATTATTAAAGCCAAAGAAACAACAAAAACGCAAAAATGGATAACAGATGAAATATTGGAAGTGTCGGACTAATTATTAAAGAATACCTCTAACTGGTATGCACTGCAAGTAACTAAAATTAAGTTAATTTAACAGACTGTATTATAAATCTGTCGCAATGTCTCCCTTGTGAGAAATGTACTGCTCACATAAAAGTAAAAAAATTAAAAACAGATTTATATTTTAAGTATTTCAAATTTCTTACTATATCTTTAATATCATTTTGTAGGAATCTACTCAGAAGAAAAATGCACCATTATCATTGGTTCGTCAACGCCATTCACGTGCCACTTCAGCTTCAAAAATGAAAAAAGCAAAACCTGCATATGTCAGTATAACTGGTAATGTCTTTAAATATAATAATATATTAGATTAATATATTATAATATATTAGTGTATATATATATATATATATATATATATATATATATATATATATATATATATATATATAAAACTGCAAATAGAAAAGAAGAATTAGGTTTTTGTAGGTTGTAAATTTTAGACTTTTTGTTGTGTTTGTATTTGAAAAACTACCCTGTTGTGTTGTAATGTTTTTATTCAAAATTTTAAATGTATTTTTTAATATTTTTAACATGTTTGTGACAGTGTTCTTTACCACTAGGACCAACTGAACATTTTCAATGTAGGTTTTTAAATGTTGATTTCCACCACTGTACTATAATAGGTTTTCCATTTAGGTGCTGATGAAGGTGACAACATATCACCGAAAATTTCACATTTAGAATAAAGTTCTACACCAAACTGGCTTATACCATCTCTAGCTGATCCTTGTTTTGACGCTTTCCCGAACGTTACCCTCCAAAGAATTGTATTCTTAGCGTCGTTGTACACACTCTATATATATATATATATATATATATATATATATATATATATATATATATATATATATATATATATATATATATATCTGTACCATAGAGGTAAAGGGTAGTAACTTCATTTTTTTCTAATTTGGACTTAATGCTGTGGCTAAGCTTAATATGTTTCACTCTCATTTTTGGCAAAAGATGGTATGTGAAGTATTACTGGTGGCCTATATATTCTTATAAGAAAAAGTAGTTTTATACTTTGAAGACCGACGTAAAGTGACGTAAAGCATAGTAACTCCATGAGCTGTCGGATCTGTATCGGGTACGCTATTTCCTGCGCGGTAACAGCAGTATCTCCACAGTAGTGTTAGTCACCTTAATTTACAGAGCGTTTTATTTGATAGATAGTTGACAGTAACAAAAAATAAAAGCAAAAATGAATTCCAAAGACTCTAAAACTTTAGCCAATTTAAAAAACATGGCTGGATCGAGGATTTGTGCAATTGTGGAAAAAGCAAAAGCTGAAAATTTGACCGTAGACGGTAAGTGAGATTAAGTTAAGTTTTAATTTTTATATAAACTTGTAACTAGGAAATTGTTAACATGTTCTAAAAATGTTGGTTTGTCACGTTTTATATAGTAGATGTTTACTTGTTCTTGCTCTTTAGAGTTTCTAGTAGTTTGGGTATTTGAAAATATTGCTGTTGTAAGAGTTTTGACCAATGGATATTATGTTGTTTTATTCACTGTCCATTTCTCAGATGCTTAAGTACATTTTAGCAATTCTTTGTAGTAATTTAAATTCTTAATCTTTAACAACTACTTGTAAAATCTAATACTAATACAAAATTAACACAACCTTTAAGGGAAAAGGAACAACAATGCAAAATTTTGACGCCTGTCAAAATTTTCTATGTATTTTAAATGTAATCATTTTTTCCGAATCCTGAGAAAATTAATAAGTATTTTTAAAAAAATTATACGCAAAATAAAAGATTACTTTATCACCGAGGGCTGAAAGTTCCTTAGAACGATTAAAATGCTTGTTTTGAATGAGATATTTGAAATTCAAAATCACACTACATGTCCTCTTAGTTTTTCACCCCTGTAACTTATTAAAATAAACATTATAAAAGCTTTCAGGGACTTTCGGCTCTCGGTAATAACGTAATCTTCCATTCTGCGTTTAAATTTTTCAAAAATACTTATTAGTTTTCTCAGGATTCTAAAAATAGTGAATCCACTTTAAATGACATTGAAGTCGACAGTTTGTACCCATCCCCTTAAGTAGTACTTTTTGTAGTACTTGCAAGTGTATTATCTTTTTTTGAAAACATCAACCTACAAAATACTAAACTTGTTGCTTTTTTGAGAATTACACAAAAGTGCCTCTAATCAATTTTTTGCTTTATTCTGTGTACTGTTAACAGTTCGACATATAGAGAAGAATAAATAATTTTTTTTTCATTTACAGAATCGACGAACATCTTTGATATTGCTCAAGCTTCAACTAGACGTGCTCAAAATTGCAATTTTTTGTATAATTTAACTAAAGAATGTATTAGCGATGATGATAGCATAAAAGACCCCGATTACATAGACCGTGATTGAGAAAGTATTGACAGCAGTAAAAATAGTACAGCAGTATATAGGACAGTAATAGGACAGCAGTAAAAAGAGTTGGTCTTAAAATAAATTTTTCAAAAACACAATTTATGATAAGTGTAGTCCACAACAAAAACATCTCAGTAGAAGACAAAGATATTGAGCCAGTTGACTCCTATAAATACTTGGGCCATGAGATCAGAATAAGTCGAGACAACCAAACAATCGAGCTGAAAAGAAGAATTAACCTCGCTTGGGCTGCGGATTATTTTAGGTGTAAGATTCTAATGTGTCTAAAAAGAAAAGTATTTAATCAGTATATTTTGGCAGTGATGATCTACGGCGCAGAAACCCCAACACTCACAAGAATAACAGTGCGTAAACTACAAGTTGCGGAAAGTGCAATGGAGAGAATAATGTTAGGAATTTCTTTACGTTATAGAATACCCAATGCCACTATACGCAAAAGATCAGGAGTAGCAGACGTTATTGAAAGGATAACAACACTAAAGTGGAACTGGGCAGGTCATGTAGCAAGATCAGTTGATGACCGGTGGACAAAAAGAATTTTGAAATGGAGACTCCGAATAACAGAAATAGAGGTCGACCCCCAACGAGATGGACAGATGACATAAAAAGAGTGACTACAAATTGAATTCAGATGGCGCAAAATCGGACTAAGTTGAAAAGCATGCGAGAGGTCTATGTTCAGCAGTGGACGTTAGAGGCTAGTTGATGATACCTAGGTACATTCTTGTTTTGCGAAAAATTTAATACAGACATGCGTATCATTAGCAAAATACGTTTATTTCAAAAACTGTGTAATTTTTTATTTGAAACAAGAATACCTTTTTTGTGTAGAATTGAATGTTACTTCATATTTTTTCCTAAATAGAATGTTTATAGAAGGCGGACAAAAAAATTATGGCAACATTAATGAACCAATGTTATAGTAGGTGGCGCCACCTAGTGTCAATGGTAAAACTAATATCATTTTCATATTAAGCATACTAAATAATAGCAAGATACCAAATTTCACCTAAATCAATAGTTTTCAATATAGCTCTAAAAATAATATAAAAAAATTTAATGAATCACCCTGTACAACGAGAACTAGCAACATTTTACCTAATCAATTTGAGCTCAAACGCTTTATATTGAGGTCAGATCTCACCCAATTAGCTAATGTTTAATTAATTATGGGACAACCTGTATATTTATGTTTATATAGGATAAGGTAACAATTTGAAAACTTTCCGTTTATAATCTTCATTCCCGTAAATAATATGAAATTTCGGAAAGACAGGACAATTTTGTTTTCCAGGGAAGATTTTCACTGAACATTGTTAGCCTTTAAGATTTAACTTTCTAGTAAGTAATGTTACCCTTACAATTTAAATTAGGAAACTGTAATATTATTTTTTAAATAACGTTTAGCTATAGGGCGTAGGTAGACTAACACTCAAAAGTTGAAAATAAAATCACATTCGAAAGTTACAAACGTAATTAGAACTTTCCTTTACTGAGATTAATGGTTGTAAAGTTATTGTGTAAATAAACACTATTTTATTGAGGTTTATTTCAGGAAATAGGGTTTGACGATTAAGTAATTGGTACTATTTCAACCTTTTAACAGAAATAATGTAGTCTACACGCTACACGTTTGATTTTAATTATTTTATTTTTGCAATAATAACTTAATTAACGAAACCAAAAATTTTCTAAAAAATCAATATGCGTGATCTCAATAATTTTTGATACACATTTCAATTTTGCTCTAACCAGTGATCAAGTCTACTTCAGAAGTCTTCTCTAACATTTTGAAAACTTGAAGAGATGATGTAATTATTTTTTTAAATTTTCCAATATCATGAAGTTGTGTTTTATTAATAAATTCTTCACATTTCTTATGCTCTATGAAAGATGATCATCATCATCACTACGATTCTACCTTTATTTGTAAAATCTTGTTCTTCTTCCCGATCCGCGTTACTATCTACCTTTTTCGGAGTAATAGCGGCAATAAACGGTAATTTTTGTCATGTCTCCACGTTTTAAATGGCTCTTTTTCATGAATGTTTCCCTTTATATCTAGGCCTTTGCCCCATACAGAAAAACAAGAAATTTATAGCATCTGTTTAGTCCAGTTTTGAATGGAAGAGATATGCTACTAAAAAGGTTCTGAAACTGTTTTCTAGTATCATTTTTAAGTTAAATATTATTTTATATGAAATTAAGACCGCAATTGATTGAAATGAGAATTACATTTTGCATGAGTACCTGGCAGACTACTAACGAAGAAAATTAACACCCCATTACAGCAGGACACCACGTCTATACGAAGTCTCAAAAAAACATAAAGTGAAGGTATTCTGCAGATTAATTTGCAGCAGCGTGGGTTCTTTTTGCAGCACACTGTCTCTACTCCTTTTAGAATAATACAACCATTGTTACACAATATGAACATTTTTATAAAGGTTTCTCAATATTTTCTGAAAAAGCTAGCAGAATTACATTACAACAACACGCTAGTTAATTTTGACTTAGCGTATTCATTAATGTGCCTCTTGAAAAAGTCTAACAAATAGTAAAAACCAAACTAAATTAGGAATAACAACATAAACAAAACTGATCCGTCTCCGGTAAGTGCTGGGTGGATTGAGTAGCAACTCATCCCTTGTCAAAAGAAATAAATGCTAAAAATTTCGACCAAAACCCTCAGAATACAAAGGATGGATCAAAACAAAGACGACTAATGTAACGGAAAAGGAAAATGATATGGGCTACATGGAATGTACAAGGACTTAGAACCAAACAAGCAGAAGTATTTAAAAATTAGCGGAAAGAAAAATAGATATATGTATTCCCACCGAGACCAAGAAAAAAGGAAAAGGAAATAAAGAGATAGGAGAATATATACGTATCTACAGAGGAATGAGTAAAGATAACAGAGCTAAGAGAGGAGTCTCTATTGCCATTCGAAAAAATCTTAAAAACTATATTAAATCATGGACTAAAGTAAATGAACAACTTCTAATACTGGAAATGAAAAAGAATGGACACAACATCGTAATTGTCTGAGTGCATGCCCTAAATGAGGATGCAGGTCCAGAAAGTAAATACGATTTCTACAAGATGAATGAAATACTCTCTGAAGTTAAAGAAAACTGTGAAATCTTTATAATAGGAAATTTAAACGGCAGAGTAGGGAGAGAAGAAAGTAACAGAGTCGTAGAAAGATATGGGGAACAAATGACCAATGACAACGGAATGCATCTTAGAGATTTTTTTGAAACAATGTCTCTTAAAATTATAAATGGATTTTTTTAACATGGAGACATCCACAAATTTACATGGATGTGGTGATGGACTATGTAATCCAACGTCAAACTTCCCAGCTGAAAAAAACTGACGTAAGGGTATACCGTGGATCAGAATGTGGAACCGACCATCGTTTACTTATGGCCAATGTGGTAGTTAACTATCGCAAAAACAATAACACTCAGGTACAGAATATAGAAAAGGTACAAGAAATAGCTGCGAGGCCTCGGATGATGAGCTTCGCGATCCGGATGGCACCCGGCGCATCTTCTCGTCCGGGAGGAATGTGTGAAATCAGTTACCGGGCATGTAGACGTGACTCATCAGGCTTTACATGCGAAATGTGCTACTGGTGAAAAACTTAATAACCGCAAACCATACAACATAGCTACATGGAATGTCCGTGGTCTTTTACAACCGGGCAAACAAGCTATTCTGGAGAAGGAACTGGAACGAACCAATATCTCTGTGGCCGGGCTCTCTGAACTCCACTTCCGCAACGAGGGGCACTACATAACTAATTTGGGACATTTCATGTTCTTTTCCGGCAACACTAACAAAAGTATCAATGGTGTTGGCTTCTGGGTTTCAAAATCTCTTTCTCCTTATATACTGG